TTCAACGGTCATGGCAACTGGAACTTTCTCCTCACCATCATCGAGCCCAAGAAAGCCTAGCGCGACTAAGCCAATTGAGTGCAGGTTCCGAGAGACTGTCGCTTTGACAGTAGAATTCACCAGGTGCCCAACCTTTTAGACAACGCCGCTAAGGTCCACGATTAAAATTTTCATGGCTCATCCCTCACGCTCTCCAGTCAACTTGGACTTAAAGCACCCTGGGCTTCCAGTCACATAGGAATGATGGACTCTGAAGGTACATGGATTGAGACAAGTATCTGATGCACGTTTAGAGCACCCCATTCCCTCGTCACTCCGTGCGAGAAAAGATTTACGGATACCCTACATGAGGAAACTGTCGTTTTCACCCCCCCCCTCCCGTACACGTATTAGCATGACACATTCATCACTCCTTCGGCGACAGAGTGATGGGCAGAGGTCTTTTGTATGAGAGATCCGATCCACATTCAAAGGCTGTCCCATGACTCTACAGTTAACGACAAGGGCAAAGAGGCCATCATAAGCCGGAGGAACGCCATCCTTAAAAGTTGCCTCACTCCTCTGGTGACGAGTTATATCCGCCAGAGGTCCTCTATTTTTGAGCACAGGTGTGCGCATTAGGTTGGTTTTGTGTGAAGCCCAATCTAGCTGCTTTGCACTTCTCCTGTTTCCTTTATCCCAAGTTTTTCCTGCCCAGCAGTGTCTCGTTTCTTCGAAATCTCGACTAGTACTAGATAAGTCCCTACATGGGGTCTTACCTCGGGGTTTTGTGCACATTTCTCTCAACTGGGAAGTGAAGTATCATCTAATCATAAGATTTTATACTTGGAAATAGAAATCTGCAAATTCAAATTCTCGGGATTTTGCGCATGTAAAAAGCTAGCACAGTGGGTCTATTAGTCAGTAATCACGTTTCACCGAGAAAATCGTGAAAAAACATCTTATGCATTAGGATGTCAACACGCATTTTGCTTATCCTATCGATTTTCCGGTTTCCTTGCAAGATGCTGTTGATAACAGGGAACTAAAGCCAACGAATGATATTCGATACCAAACGGATTCTGGGATACGAAAACCTCAGCCGTCATTTCTTGTCGAAAATCAGCTCGCATTCCCGAATGGATGGATTCTGAAAAAGGAAGGAAGGCTTTCGCTATTTTCGTGCCGCAGCAAAATGTAATCCGGACGATAAACTGGCACCATAAATCACCACATAGCCTTTTGCTATTGAGCTAGCGACATTTCCATCAATTCCAAAGGGCGTAACGAAAGTAGCTCCTCTCCCGGTGATCCAAAAGCTCCTTCCTTGACAACATTGTGAACTCCAAACCATCCTTCCAGGCAGGAGTTCAACAGGGAGTCGTCGCAAAGTCGCTGACGTCATACGATTATCGTCCAGGGTGGCAATGACGTCCAAGATGAAACTCCGTGAGCATGCAAAACTTTTTAAGAAATGCGCATAACCGAAAGCATCCTCGATGGAACATCGACTGACGACAAACAACACTATTCAGGCGAATTCAACTGGCACTCTACTTTGAACTTTCATAGGGCAGGAAAAGTAACCAGATAATCAAACGATTGATTCCCTTAGCTCTCGGAAGTTGGTCAAGGCGTCGATAAACGACTGAGAGGGCGCATAATAACTGGTATAGGAAGGGAACAGCCCCGTGAGCGTTACCCAACTTATCGTCGAAGGCTTGACAGGCAGTTTACAGGGCAATTGACATGGATTTGCACAATAGTGACAAAACGCAGAAAACAAAGACAAATAACGAGAAACAGTGACAGCATTGAAAAAGTGCAGCAGTATCTGACCGGCGGGGAAGGGGGGGGGAGTTTGTATTTCGTCGCTTTCAGCCAGTTTCTGGTTTACACCCCAGAAGTCTCACTATGTGGAAACCTGTGAACTCTTATGAAGCGGAGCCAGCTCGCAAGTTAAAAACAATGGTAAACCATCAACTTCGAAAAGAGAGCTGCTCTAGAATAGGTTTGACTGACGTCAGTGTGCAGGTCGTTCAAGTGCAAAACCCTTCCAGCCCCCCCGTCGGCAAACACTGCGCCCTTGAAAAAGCTTGCAGGTGCAACCCTTAAAAGGTTAACAGCGCCAATGACTATTACTTGAACCGTTACCAAATTACTCAGTTCGTTAGCAGAACCAGATCCGTACCCGCTTTTCCAGCTCATTTTCGGAAATAAAATGAGCGTAAAAAGACGTGTTTTGCTGTCCAGATAGGTAAATATTTCCTGAATTTTTCCAAGTTCCTACCACGTTTCCGGAGTTTCTCCCGAAAATTTCTGCAGTTTTTAGCCAAAAAACCGCCGTCTAGCGGTGGATACGAATACGAGCCCCTCGCTGCAGATCCCTTACATGCAACGTCACTGACTATATTAATCCTTACAAATGTAATCCTATATCTACACTCTTTCGTTTTCATTCCTCAAATTTTTTTTCAATGTTCTGCGAAACGCTTTGCAAAGACACCGATCAAATCCTCAGCTCTACTTGCGACCACTTCAATTCCTGAACTATGAACTCCGATCGCTCTTTCGTTTAACCAGGATGTTCAGAACAAACATGAAAGAAACGAGGTCTATTGCAGCGGTGATGCAATGCACAAGGCCACTGCAAAGCAACTCAGTTTTCTGCTGGATGGTCACAAAGCTGAGACGAAAGATGAAGCCATTTTCTAAGCTTCAGGTCTTACGGTAGTTAATAATGTGGACAACGACTTTGGATCTCCAACATCTTGAGGATTAATGACACGCGCAAAATAGAAGCCCTGCCGATCTAATCCGTTGAAACCTCTTACACGTGTAATCTTCTTCGCCCACTTCGTTACACGGCTTCTATGCCTCCCTTTCACACATTACATAAAACAAGCTTACCAAGACTGCCAGAGATTGCTGGAAAATGATAAACCTCAGGAAAAATGATTAACTTAGCGATCGCTCGAGCAACCCCAAGGGTCTTCAGCCCAACGAGCGGGATCAGCAAGGGTTCAATCTGAGATCGTCTGATTAAAATGCTCGTCATGCCTCAACTATTAGGCAGTTTCATCTCTAGCGAGGAGGGACAAACTTGTAGAAGCCACTTATCAAAATCCTAAGTGACAAAAAAATGGCCTATCAACTGCGTTTTCGAAAAAGCCTGTTATTATGAATCTTAACAGCCCAAGTCTAGCACTGTCTTCTTAAGAGAAAGAGTCTTCAACACTGAAGACTGGGTGCCCGTGAAAGTAAAAGACGGATAAGGCCGCTGATGGAATCCAGAATTGGGCTCGGTTTGGGGGG